TACTGTATGCCCATTATTTTACTGGAAATGTCAGAAAAATGTTAACTCTATATATTCATATTAAATGGTTAAGGCCTAGAAGTAGGGGTTCTTGCAGTATTCAGTTTTAGAGTGAAACCATTAGTGACGGAATAGTTTTCAAAATGGTGTTGCTTCCAATAGTCTTGTTTGGTGGTATTGATGGGTGAAACACCCCGGAGAGTTTATTCTAGGCAGTGCACTTATTCCAATTAATGGGGGGGGGGGGGTTTTTTTTTTAGGGGATTGTTTATTCAAACCAGTTGTTTTTTTGTTTTTTTTTTAATAAATGCAGTAATTTACCATTAATGTGCAGTATAAATGTTTGAATACTGTATATTATGTTTTGGTAGTTGAAAATATATCATTGTTAAACATTTTGTAAAGGGGGTGGGTGGGGTTAGGTGGATGTAATTAATCATTGTTTAACCTTTTGTAAACGGGAGGGGGAGTGGATGGTATCCCTGGGAAAATCCCTATCTGAACTAATCAATAAATCAATCAATCAATCAAGTGACTATTGAACGCTACAGTACTTCATGAACGCCTAGATAAACTGACTAATTGGTAGAAGGATAAAACAAGGATTTTGGATCAAAGGCAAAATTTTGATAGTAAAAACAGGGGGAATGTAACCTGTTCCCCTCCCACCAAGGGTACAGTAGAAAGGTTAACTGTATTAATCTATTTATTGTAAGTTATGTTTTTATTTAATCTATCATCAAACATTTTAATTTTTATACATGCTATAAAGTATTTGTGAATGTTAAATGCATTTCGTATTAGTAATGTACATTGGCATTGATTGTAATTTAGATGTTGGATTTTAATTTAATCAGTTTCTCACAGTGCACGCATAATTGTTCAATTATGTTAACTGCTAGAGGATCCAACTTTCTGCTAAGAAATGTAGTACCGTACATTGCTCCAGTACATTAATAGTGGTTTTCTTTATATTGAATAATTTAATTAATATCATCATCCTAATCATCTAATTTTACTAATTAGCTGATTACTCATTAATTAGTTGATTAGAGCTCATTGAATGTTGTAATGAAGCAAGATGAACTGGTGCTATTGTATAGTACCACTCTTGCTTTTGAGAATCAATTTACAGTATGGTTATGTACATACAGTATGACAGTGATGTTTCACAATGTTTAAAGCCCCATTCCCGGCAAAATTTCAGTTTTTAAGAAAAATCTAATTTTTGTATAATGTTATAAAGATTTATAAATATAATACGGAATTGCTAGTTTAAATGAAATTAGACATTCTTAAGAATGAAAAAAATGTAAAATAAGACTGAAATTTGATTTTTTGTGTTCCACACAAAAAATAAATGCGGATGAATTTTTCATGTTGATTTTGCGATAGGTCGTGAGAAGAAATATCGTAGGCGCCGAAAACATTAGCCTATCCAATGCTGGTAGGCTAGGCCTAGCCTTACCTCGATTTAGGTTCTGTTATCACACATAAAAACGGCTGTCATGATATTTTCCGTTGCTAGTATTGACACTTGTGAATATAATATTTCACAGGAATTATTTCAAATTTGTTAAAAAACTGATTCTGACTGAGATTTTGACACTTAAACAAACATATCTCAGCCTAACAAAACTAAAATTTAAATGCATGTTGAAACTGGAGTTCTTTATTTAAATGGCAACACCTGTTGTTTGATTACATAAGGAATTACACCCTACTGTACACACCTTGTATTCCTTTTTTTGTTGTATTTGGACAGGACATTACATCAAAGAATTTCATATCTTAAAAAAAGACAGGCCTACTGTATCAATTAGCTACCTTTTAATTACTGTACATCTGCAGTATTATAAACGCTAAAAATGGAGTGTACGCTGATGATGATATAAAACAGGACTTCAAAACCAAATATTAAAAATGTAAATTATTAACATTAGCAGTCGATCTGAATGCATTAATGATGTACCAACAGGGGTTTAGCCAGAAAAAAAAATAGGCCATCCAAAATGGAAGCCAGTGGGCGTGGCACTCAGTCGATGGGTGGGCCACGCCCATCTTTGGGAATTCCCACCAAATATTTGTACAAAAGCAATGTATATTCAATCAATGTTGTTTTTATCAAAAATAGATTTGATTTAGCTTTAGTTTAATGTAACATTCGATAGATTTGAAGAATTTGGTAAAGGTAGACCAGGCCTACTATTAGGCTAGGCCGAGCTGATTAGGCCAAGCCGTCCAAGCCGTCTCAGTAAAAGTGGCCGTCCTAAATAATTGTAGGCTGTCCAAAAGACGGCCGGACGGCTTGTTGGCTAAGCCTACAGTATGCATACCAATAGCATAATAATGATTTCTGATAAAATGGAATATGATCAATAATTCCCACTTTAGTTTTCTTTCTAAAGTGAAGTACTTTGTCTCCACCCTATCCACGCCCCCAAGTCTACCACTGCATTTTTTCGATATTAGCACCGGTTCAACATTTTCACATGCTTTACAAATATAGCATGTATAAAGATAACAATGACAGTGCGTTTTAGATGGGTACTATAATGTGAGTTTATTATGCATTTTGCGTGAGCATCGGCCATCTGCCCAATGTGCTTGAACATACCATGGACATACAATATTCAGAATTAAGTGCAAATACTTTAATGAATCAACCTACAGTATTATGATATTTACTTTAGCTGATAATAATAAATTAGTTGTCCAACACGCCAGTGGCACTTCGCAGCAGGCTAATTGTAATTAGGGTTATTGTCTCCATCGCCAATTAATTAGCTTCTATTTTTCTGAGACAGTAATATGAAAGTACACTAAACCCGCCACATAACCATGAAAATTTCATTCTTGATTGCACATCTGTTTTTTTTTTACTAATGTTTCCATTATCAAGATACTTTTATATTAAAATATTAAACTAGTTATATTTTTTAAACAAAATCATTTGAAATTGAAACTATATATAACAATATAAATATTAAATGATTTCATTTTTTGTATAATTTAATTTTTTTTGTCACTATTCCAAATTTGGCTGGACCCTTGTAAACCCAGAAATTCCAAGGATTTACACCAGGGTCTTCAGGGGAGAACAGGAACATTGCTTCTTGTCCAATCACTCAGATGTTTATGAGCTAATAACAGGAAAATTGCTATACATAGTAAAGCTTTAAATGTCCATGTGAAATTTCATGTGAAAAATAACTGAACTGTGATATGCCCATATTTGGATGTAATATGATATCACCATGCCCATGTATAGGTATATGACATATTTGAGTGTGAACAGGACTTCAGTTAAGCTTTCAATCAATAATAGGACAAGATTTTTGTTTCTGCAATTAACACTACACGTAATAAATGCATTAAATATAACATTCTTTATACTGTGATAGACTCATTATTTGAATGGCATACAAAGGTCTGTAAACCAATGGAAAATAAATTGTTTCAATTTGTGTCTCATTGAAAGTTAATAACATTAAGTCAAGTGGCCGAACGTTAAGACAGAGGCGCCGCTATGTACTGCATTGACGCTGGTTCCATCCGTTCCTCGCCCATGGTTCAGTTGTTAGAACCAAGTCTTCTCGGATACGGACTTAAAATGGGGATCCAGTGTATACATCTGGCTCATGTGCACTATAAAGAAGGCATTGCATCTTTCGGAAGAGTAAGGGGTTATGTTATGCTATGGTTCATTTCAACCCCTGTCATTGTGGAATGATGTGAACATGTATCTACCATGAAGCGCCTCTTTATGGCTGCTAGGTAGTCACAGACCACGCCCATATGCAATTCAGCACAATGACGTTGCAAGTTATGGATTATTCTTCTACCTTTACCTTATCTTAACCTTTATATATATATTATCTTTATAATTAAATGAGCAAATCAATTCATTTCGATTGAATGTTTGAACAATTTTTCAAGATTCTATCACAGACAAAACAAATACCTACATTTAAGCAATAATTGTATTAAATGAAAAGGTGTATTTTTTTTAACACAATATTCTCACTTGATCCAATACATAATTTAGCACCTGCTCTGTACAATGAAGAGAGAATGCATTTTAACATGTTGGCTGCCAGCGATGAGTATACTTGTCCCACAGTGTGTTTGCTGAGGGCACTAAAGACGACTATACTCGTCAAAATTGGGATAACATTCTAGCGTTTATTACTTCTTTGTTATACATTGTAGAACCACAGAATAAAGGCTGATAGTTTGGGTACTAATGCACTTACAATAGATGATAACGTACAAATAACGGATGTATGTTTGTTGTGTTATGTTTCCGGCAGTATACTTGATTACACATGTGGGGGCGCCCTCTGAATATATACCAACCCATGCAAAAAGCAGACGAGAAAACTCGCACTTGGCAGAGACAATAGCAATTGCTGTCCCTGTTCCGACGAGGAGTTTGCTCGTCCCCTACTATTTTCTCGCCAACTTATTAGACACACCATTTTGATGATATACTGTATGACTAGATAGAATTTCAAAAAGCATGTTTATACATGTATACTTGTTCTGCACACGAAAGGAACCTAAAAAAGATCTGTATCTGTATTAGTTGATTTTTAGATCTTGCAAGTCATAGGAACTTAATTTGATTACCGTATTATCTTGATGGATGCGAGATAGGAGGTTACTAAATCAGGTAATTTTATTAACATTGTGATGGTGTCTCCTGTTTATTAAGTGTAGCCATGGAGGTATTATTACCTCAATGGTGTAGCTACTGTATGTAACATCTGTTGAACACACAGTTGTCTGAATAGACAAGATTCCTTTTCTCATGCCTGATGTGTTGTGACAATTTGAGGATGTAATGCTGTAATACTTCCCCCCGGTGAAACCAAAATTCCATTCTCAACTTCATCATCTTGCAGCGCCAGTGACAATCAGTTTTTTGCTTTAACAGGTGCCATAGAAATGTAATTTTTATTATTAATATTACAAATAAATATTGGTTTTTTTTTCGTTGCAGGGAATATTTAGAAGAATTTTCTTGGAATCATAAGGCTACAATTGTGGGTGCTGGAAAGACTTGTTTGTTCATCAAAGCTGACCAGAGTCTTCTAATTTTAACCAATGGGAAAGTGTATATCGTGCTGTGGGCCATCAGGTAGTGGCAACAATGGACAAAATGGTAACAATGGTCATACGTTAGACTCTGTCGGACGTCGTAGTTTGACGAAAACAATCCCGGCTCCCACCATACCCAAGGAACCTCTGGACCTGCATGCTTGGAAAGGAAGTGTGTCCAATGGCCAAGAAAAACAAAAACCATCACATATAAGGACTAGTAATGGAATTGATACGCAACCTCCCCTTATACCTAAAGTGGAATGTTCCGAGGCTAGAATAAACCATTTGTTTGAAACTTATAAAGATGCTTCAGAAGATTCCATTCTCTCTGAAGGGATGGAGAAGTTTTGCCAGGACTTGGTTGTTGACCCTGAGGATGTAATTATGTTGATAATTGCGTGGAAATTTGATGCGTCAATGATGTGTCGTTTCACACGGAAGGAATTTCTTTCTGGTTTTAAACTTTTAAAAGTTGATTCTATTGAGCGGTTAAAGCAGAAGTTTGCTGAACTTCAGCAGGAAGTGAAAGACGATTCAAAGTTCAAAGACCTCTACCGGTATACTTTCAATTTTGGCCTAGAGTCCGATAGAGGACAGCGCTCATTACCGATAGAAATTGCGATACCACTTTGGGAATTAGTTTTTACGAATCGTGTACCACCGATACTTGATCGTTGGTGCAATTTTCTAAAACAGAATGATGTACGAGGGATTTCGCGGGATACTTGGCAAATGTTTTTGAATTTCACAGAGGTTATCGGAGCTGATCTTAGTAATTACGATGATAACGAGGCATGGCCTAGTTTGTTTGATGATTTTGTGGAGTATGAATTAGAGCGCCAGCAAGCATCTTCAGGTGGACCAAATGAGAACAACTCAGCTGATGGGAACCCTCTAGAATATTATTTGTGAAGAGTGGAGTACACATTCACAAACAACCTAACTAGAAAATTATTTTAGTTTAATGAAGATATTGTACTTAATAGTTGATACCAATGTTGATGTTTAATTTTATGTCTGTGTTTTTGTGAAAAACATTTTATTTTTGTGTTTTTACGTGCTTAGCAAGGTTTTTAACAAACAAGTTTTTTCCTCCATTTTTGTTGAGTTTTAATTGTTTTTATCAACGTTCAGTTTTAAGTTAACCATGTGTTTTTCTGTTCTTTTGGGTAATAATTACCTCTTTTTGGTTTCCAATAATACGCAGCAATATGAAAAATGCCTGGCATTTGATATGAGCTTCATGTTATGACTTGAGCTTGATAATTTCATTTAAACAAGTTTATTATATTCAAATTTATGTTTTCCACAAGAAAAATAGGTCATAATTATGGATTTTTTCATTAACGAAATCTCAAGTGTTGTACTAGTTAATAATCATGATATGAATATTCATATAATTACTTTAATCATGATATGAATATTCATATAATTACTTTACATTATGATTTACTGTATGACCCACCTGGTTTACTGGTAATCAGGTGATAGAATAAACCTCCCCTTTTTATTTTATAGTAATTTAAATATATTGTTGATTATTGTGGAGATGCAGATAAAGTCTATACTGCCCTCAACCAGGATAATTTTACTTACAAAGCCTGTCCTCTATTTGGTCAGTCTGGTACTGATCAAAATAGTAACTTTCTGAAGTCTAGGTACTATGGTATATAGCTAAAAGGTTAGAAAAAATGTAGGAACCACAATTACTTTATACTGTGTGCCAATTGGGATAGAATCTGTTTTTAAACAAATACAATAATAAATATTGCCATTTTAGTGGAGATTTCAAAGTTCAAAACTTTTTAAATAATTTAATTTCATGATAGAGAGTGTATTTCTGTCTCAAAGATTCAACTGTTGTAATGGTACAGTAGTGTTATCTTGCTGAGCAAATTACTACTTTACCAAAATATCCTGATTAAATTACTAAGTAAGTGTATTACTATTTTTGTAAAATATATAGCTCAGTTCAGACTACCAAATTTCATTTGAAATGTGACATGCCTTTTATATATGTCATGACTATATATAGGCATACAACAGTTTTTTTTTGTTTTTTTTTGTCAAATAAAATTAGATAGTCTGAACACGGCTTAAAGGTTTGACATTAAGCTCTGGCCAGACTATCAAATTTTATTTGACAGAATCATGTGCCATGCCTATATATGGTCATGATAGCATCACATCATGACCATATATAGGCATATCATGACTAGGCATACAACAGTTTTTTTTGTCAAATAAAATTCGATAGTCTGAACAGAGCCTAAAAGTTTGATATAAGCTCTGTCCAGACTATCAAATTTTATTTGACATAATCATGTGACATGCCTATATATGGTCATGATAGCATCACATCATGACCATATATAGGCATATCATGACTAGGCATACAACAGTTTTTTTTTTTATCAAATAAAATTCGATAGTCTGAACAGAGCCTAAAAGTTTGATATAAGCTCTGTCCAGACTATCAAATTTTATTTGACATAATCATGTGACATGCCTATATATGGTCATAATGACATCACATCATGACTATATATAGGCATACAACAGTTTTTTTTGTCAAATAGAATTGGATAGTCTGAACAGAGCTTTAAAGTTTGATATTAACCTCTGTCCAGACTATCAAATTTTATTTGACAAAAACATGTGACATGCCTATATATGGTCATAATGACATCACATCATGACGATATATGCACATTAGATTATATATGGGCATATAACAATTTTTTGTCAAATAGAATTTTATAGTCTGGACAAAGCTATAGACAGATGTCTTAAAACATACTCTGTACATAATACAGTTACTGCGTCATACCCTGTACATAATACAGTAACTGCATCATTCAGATCTTAATAGAGTATTTTATTGTTGTATTGTTATTTGCTAAATTCACAATTTTTTAGTGAAATAATTCATTTTAGTCAGTTATTTTCAGTTTAATAACAAATATTTCAGATGGATCTACATATATAAATAGTTCTTAATGTGTTGTCCTTGGTAAAAAATACCTAAGAATTATATGAATTATTTTAATAAACAATAACTATCAATAGAAGTATGAGCAGGTATTATTATTAAATGTTCAGTGTACAGTATTTCATTGCATTGTGCATTCTTATTATGTACTTTGAAATACTGTAGGGAAATATGTACAAAATTATGTCGATGTTTGCAAACAATAAGTCCAGACTCAAATTTTAGTAGACAAAACATGTGACATGCCAAATATGGTTATGATGACATCACATCATGATCATATATGGGCATGCACCATTTTTTTGTCAAAGAAAATTAATTAACTCATTGAATTGCATATCTTGATTTTAAACAGCCAATCACATTATCGTGTGCTCAGGATTTTTATATTTTCAGAAAAATAGTGATGAATAATAGCTCACCAAAATTATTGTATAATGGGACTGCATGAAAGCATTTGGTGCACTGGTAATAGGTGTTGGGCATTTGATGAAAAGGGCAGGGTACGAATCTCCAGTTGGGCACTTCAAGTGTCTCCATGGAAAAGATATCTTATCCATTCTTCTCTCCGCACCGAGGGGTTTTGTATGTGGATTGGGTAGGATTAAAGACTATTTTGCTCGTTAAAAGCTGAATTATATTAAAATAATCCCTGGATGTATAATATAGTGTTTGATTAAATGACCAGGCTAAAAATTTGGAGAATATAGAGGCTTTCGATTAGCAAAGACTAGCATATGTACAAAGTGGTGAACTTCTATTTTAGCACACTTTCAGTTTGACAAATTTTAGATAAAAATATTTGAACTTTAACCTAATGGTGACAAATCCAATTGATTACAATGGTACAGTATATAAGAAGAACCTTGAAAATTCAATTTTTTCAGAGGATTAGATATATATTTGTAATTAAAAAGAGGTTAAAAGGATTACAAGGGTATACTACTGTAAATCTAATTTATAGTAGACAACATCACAATGAATATTAATTGTTAGACATTATTACCTTAGCTTGGCATCATCATCGTTATAGATTCTGATCATCTGTTTTATAGTTTTCCTCTGTGGTCCCCAACCACAGAATGTAGTGACGTTTAAGTAACAACTGCCAATGTTTATTTAAAAAAAAATAATTGGTATAACAACTAGAGTCTTTGGTATGGCTATCAGAAAATCATTATCATCATCATTATTTTTATCATGATCATTCTTGTAATGTCAGCTTCACCTTCAACATCATCATCATCAGAAGCCATGTCATAATCTTCAACAGCACCATCATTATCACCACCATCATCATCATTATCATCATCTCCACCATTCTGTTTGTCCCATCAGAGGTCCGCTCTTGTTATCATCTTTTTATGGCTAGACTACCATGTTTAAGTCTACCACTCTTCTGTCTCACAACGCACAGTCCATTCATCTCATTCTCAGTCTAAACTGGTCTTGTACCAATTTCTCACAGTCTGTAACATTGTTTTCCCATAGGCAGCGGAAGTGGTCTGGCAGGTCAGGCTGCCGTCTGACCGATATTTTGCTGAGATAAATGTTATATTGAAATAATACTTTTTATAATAAAAAAAAAAAACCAGCTTTTTACTTTAGTGACATATTTTGTTAAATTATTATTATTATTAAGTGCACCAAGCTAAAACTCTATAAACATGCACATAAAGACCAGATTTTGGCTGATTCAAGAGAGGGGTGCCACCCTACCCCACCCCACCCCCTTATATTTTTCAAGATTATAAAAATAGGGATTAAAAAGAAAATTATATTAAAATTTATGTCTGAGAGTGGCATTTCCCGCCATCTAGAGGTGTTAAAATCTTTCTTTCTTACCTCAGCCCCAACCATGGTGGGGCTGTTCTTGGAGCCTTTATCTTTGAAGGCTCCTTCCTGGGGCCCCGCAATTTCGAATTCCGGGATGACACCACGCCACTGGATGAAACAAAGTTTAGCTAACTGGTAAATACAGTGTACTTCAACGTCAATATAGCACTAGACTAGTTACAACAGAGAAATGGTAGCCAATGTCAATAACAGTCAAATAGCCTCTTGTCTGTAAGTCTGTAATCCTGTGTGCGGTACTATTTTATTTCCAGTTCTAAATGCTTCATATGTTTAAACATTTTACATTGTAAACATTTTTTAGACTTCGAAAGCAGTTTTTTGAAATTTTGAGTGTGTTTATATTTCTGAGCTTCTAGAAATGCTAAATCCTTTAAAGAAATCTGAACCTCAGTCAACAATTCACAAGTGTGATAATATATGATTTCTAAAAATTAAAATGCTGCATATGTTTATTACAGTTTACATTGTCAAATTATAATAATTCAAAAATCATTTTTGAAGTTTGAGAGTGCTATTTCCTAGCGAGTCTAGAAGTGCTAAATCTTTATTGCAACCTTAGCCCCAAACATGATGGCGCTGAGGGATAGAGGGTTGTGTTGACTCCCCTGCCTGACCAATACCTAAATAATTCTGCCACCCCTATTTTCTCTGTTTAGCATAAGTGGATATAATTTTTCCAGATTTTACTCTGTAAACACATGTCACTTTCTCTATCTGAATATCCATATAACATCACATTTTAAATTTCTTTTGCAAGTCACATTCAACTAGTCACACTAAAAATACTTGCTGCTGTTTTGACTTCTCTCCATTTCTTAGTTCCAACTACAATCAATATGTTTCCGAAACTTTTTATTCCAAATGATGAAAAAAAAATTAGTTATTAGTTGTTTTTTTATTTATTTTTTTTGATACTGTATTCATAACAATCTTGTAATATTACAACATGTAAAAACATGCAAATATTATCAATTTTTGGAAGATGGGTTAGTTTTCCGGGCAGCCATCCTGTTTACCGGGAGACTCCTCCTACTTGCGGGAGAATTTGTAGATATTCATAACAAAGTTGCATCACACGATAAATAATTGTTCACTGTATTAAAATCAAAAGCACATTAAATTATATCAAATTATTGTTCTATAAATATTTTAGTTCTGCTTCATTGTTTCTTTTATTGTGACATTCAACTCCTAATTTAAATTACAGTACCTGTAAATTGCTGTGTATTCTGGTTGATTCATGTTTTCTAAATAATTATTTTTTCTAATTTCAAACATAATTTTATTTTATTGAAAATGTGACTTCTCCAAACGATTGTTCTATAAATATTTTAGTTCTGGATCATTGTTTCTTTTATTGTGACATTCTAATGTGAATTACTGTACCTTTAAACTGCTGTGTATTCTGGTTGATTCATATTGTCTAAATATAATTTTTTCTATTTGCAAACATAACTTTATTTTATTGAAAATGTGACTTCTCCAAACGATAAGGATTGTGAGGCAGATAAATGAAGGTTTTATTTAAGGTGTTTGAAACACTGTACATTTGTTAGAAATGAGATGGCACTAAATTGTAGGTATATAAATTTTGGCATCTTATTACATGTACTTGTATTGTGCACTACCAGGGGTCCCACATCTCCTTGAAATCAGGACGTCCTTTTGCACTCCTGCAAGCAACCAAGAATCTCCCGGAAAATAACCCATCTCCGACAACTTCATGTTATTTGCATGTTTTGACTACTTAGTTATCGATTGTCTCACAGAATTCAGTGCCGATGGATATTACCATGCGCAGCGAAATAAAATTAAATATGTTAAGAAAGCTCACTTAACCAAATCTCCCAGAAGGGATTTCTTCCAAATTAGGACCCATCAGTGGTGGTGGTGCCTGCAGGGGATCCACCTGGTAACAGGACCCCCCCCCCCCCCAACCAT